TTGTTAACAAACAAAAATTACTGCAATAGAGAACTTCATATTTATTATGTATTTTTTAAGCTGAGTATGTGTAATCTAGAAGAAAACTAATTTTAATATCAGATTTAAAACAATGCTTTCTAATTTTAGCTTCTTTGACCAGATTATTCTCCTACTTAATTTATATTCAGCAATCCCTTTTGAAATTTTAAGATACCTTCATTTAAAAATAATTTTTTATTAATTTTACATTACCGTCACTTTCAAAGTTTTACTTCTTTGCAGACTCCTTTGTATCAAGTTTCTCTACAGGGCTGATGGCATGGGAGTTTTTTGAAGTGTCAGAGGTGAGAGTATAGGAAGAAGTATAGGAAGAAGTCTGTGGAAACTGTGTTTATAACACCTTTGTGCTTATTAACATCGCAAAGTGGGGGCCTTGTTTCTGGTTCTAGTTTTGAATAAAATAGAGAAAGCAAAATAAAATTTACCAAACAATATGAGGTCAAGTCTACAATTAGTTGCAGAAGCAAAGGCTCTTGCAATCTTATCCTAAGGATTCAAGTCAGCTAATTGAGTCTGCAATTAGCCTCTCTGGTTGCAATCAATTACAAATGCAATTTCTGTGTGTGAACTAATTTTGTGTGCAAAAGTAGTCTCACCAAAACAAAAGCCTAAGTTAGAATAAAATTCAGATCTGTCTTACCTCACTTATGTCCCAAGATGGAACAGATTTCTTCCACGAGCCAAGAAGACCACAACTAAAAGGTTCTGTGCAACTCAAGTATTTTCTTAACTTTTCTACAAGTCCTTAGACCTAAGTATGTTAGAATCTAGGAAAGTTTGCATTACTTCATTACTATTAATGTTTTACTAATTTTTAAATAATCTCAATTACGATTTTATAATAATTTTAATGTTTTTTCTTTTCATATTACTGTTTAAATGTGTTATGTTTCTATATTACACATAAGTACACAACCAGGTATACTCACACAGCACAAATAAACTGCAATGCAGAATTCCATTACAATAGATCACTTAATGCATTGCTCTACTTAAAAGGAGCTAATATGCAATATGGAGATTCAAGGGGTTTTGCTGTTTGTCAAACTCTAGCAAGTCAGTTGGGAAATTCGGCCACACCAAGGAAATTTAACACACTATGTAGAAGCAAAACAAAACAAAACAAACAGGCAAGCAAACAATCTCAAACAT